CAGCAGGATCTCTCCCAGAAATGGGGTATAACCATTTGTGCAACAATTTTTCTCAAACTGTGCTTCCAAGAAAGCACTTTTCACTGATACAGGGAGGGATCTGGGGTGGCTTGTAGTCAAAACCTGTTGGGCTTAGGTGCAGCAGGTTATAAGGCACTTCTATCCCATTTAATGGCTTTTTTTGGCTAAGAAATGGGTAGCTGCTCTGCCCTGCTATGTGCAACTTGCAACCCACCTTGCAATGCAGGTGCTCCTCAAATGGCTGCCTGCCCCAGGGGAGGATGGGGAGATGCATCCCAGTTTGCCTTCCTGATAGAGAGGAGAGGGAGACATCCCACCCAGGCTGGACCAAGCCTTCATTCTCCTGACATGACTGCTGGAGCCGGCCATCCCCAGCTAGGGGCTGTGGGAAGCTGCACCACGACCACACTCTCTGTTGGTTGATGATTTATCAGATTGGAAATTGCAATGACCTAAAGGTGTCGGCGTTGACCTATTTAACCAGTTTGCACATTGGGGTGATAAAAATGCTGTAAACCAGGCAGTGCAGAGGGCAGCGTGGGGAGGAGGGAAGGGTGGGAAGCAATGTGGTTTGGGGACTCTTTGGGGACTCTTCCAGGTGACTCTTTGCAGCACTCCCACCCAATGCTTGCATGTGAGTTTTGCTCAGCCACCCTTTCTGCAAGTGTGCGTTTGCAAGTGTGTATCTCCTTGGAAAATCTCTCTTTAAGTTCTTCGTCCCCAATTAAAATTGAGGAGGAAAGGCCTTCATACAGCATTGCTGCACGTAGCTGTGATGTGGCCTGTGTTCTGCATCCATGTGCCTTGGGACTTTGGTCTAGAAAGTCAGTTGGGGGCACCTGGGACATCTCAGTCCCAAAGTGGTTTTTGGCACTAGTTTTTGTGAGGCTAGAGCTCTCCTGGTGTGAATTATTTCTCATCTGCTTGTTCTTGACTTCCATGCATCTTCTTTCTCTCTCCATACTTCAATTCTCTCTCCCACTGAACTGGGATTCAGTGGGACTCTGTAAGTGGTAACTCTGGGCTCTTGTCAATATGATAATTTTGATGTAACTTTTTGTGCACTGAGGGCAGAAATCTGAATTAAAATCCTGTTTCATGTGACATAAGTGAACAGAAAAAACTGTCATCGCATTGCCAGCATTTGATACTGTTTTTGAATTATAAAGGGAATAGAGTCTTGGCTTTGATTTCCCTACCTCTGAGGCTTGTCAGACATGTAAGATAACCTCTTGGCATGCTTTAAGAAAGCTCTTTGAGATTACAATGGTTTGTCTCAGACTTTAGGAGACAGGGTAGGTTGTTAGGTGGGTCTCTTGTCCCTGCAGCGTGCAATGAGATCCAAAGATGTGTAATAAGATGAATAAGGATGTCTTGTCTCCTCTGAATGTCAGCTCACTTCAGAAGCAGACGTTTTGCACTGGACCAGTTCCCCGTGCCCTGTCTTCCCTGAGGCGGGGGACATTTTCTCCTTGGCTGGCAGAAGGTACCAGGACTGCAGTCTGTCCTCTCTTATGGCACCAAAATGCCTAAGGCAGCTAGATTCATACCTCTGGGAAGCTGTGTGTCAGAGATTTCTCTAAGCAGAGAGGCTAACCGAGTGATGGAAAGGGTGACCAAGTCTTCGTTCGCCAGCCTGGGCATGGTTTTGGGTAGAGCATAGGAGTAGGAATCAGGGCTCACACTGAGCACTCTGCCCAGCTCTGCCTCTCGCCTTGCCTGCAACTCCATGCAGGTCCCTGCTCTCAGCTATGCTGTGTTTCCCTTCACCAGCACAATACTGCCCATAAGCAGCGGTGCTTCTACGGCATGGCTTTCCCAGGCCAGGCAGGAGGGTGAGCAGGCTTGCACAAGGCACCCCTGAGCCACCCGAGTCGTACCTGAAGTGAGGATTGCACCGGCAAAGCTGCGTCTCTGAAAAATGTTCACAGCCATTGGCAGTGCATACTGCTACAGCGTACAGAGGCGGGGTGGGATCTGGCCTCCTCTCTGCGCTCTCCGCCCTGGCAGCTTACTGCCTCGACGAGTCTGCAGCCCGCTGCTGACTGCGCTTACATTTCTGTAGCAGCGTGTTGGGCCGTTGTTAAACAAAGGGAAGGTTTCTGTACAGCAATAGGGATCAAAATAACAGCCTAAGCATCTTTCAGACGTGGATGAAATTGCCTCCCGAGCAAGGGGCCCAGGCCAAGCTAACACTTGTTTTTTCAGGCTGCTGCGAGGCTCTGCTCGGGCAGATTAATGCCCAGTGACTCCTCAGGTTGCGCGTACCCTCAGAGAACGGAAACACGGAGCCTTGTCTGACATGGCTCTGGCCAAGGAAGTTTCTAAACAGCTTGTGAAAGCTGAGGAGCTGAGAAATCGTTAGGTGGTTAGGTTGCTGAAAGAGAAGAAATCCAGTGTTTAAATGTGTTGCTAAGGTTCTCAGCAAGGCTTGGAGAGTGCTTCTCCCCATCTGCATTTATGTGCTCTGCTGCCAGTGGTGTTTAGGGAGCCACAGCTTTCCGAAGCAATCTCAGGGACCTCATTGCCTACAAGAATGATGAATTTGCCTTATCAGAGGTGGTCCTGGCTGGTGATGGTGAAGGAGTTGCTATCTTGTCTGAAGATCTTGGAAGATACTGATCCTGAGGGACCATTCCATGGTTGGACTGAAAGAACATAGTTGGGGGAAATTATAGTCCTGTTCATGTTAATCCAGACTCTTCCCCTGTGGGTAAGGTCTGGATGGAGCTGTGTAGCTCATGGACTGGAAGGAAAGGAGGAGACCTTCAGAGCTCTTGGGATGCCCACAGGAGAAAAGGAGGTAAGAGACAGAACCCAAGTGTTTCCAGTACAAAGGATGTTGCACACCTTTACCTATTAGCAGCCAGTCCCCAAGTGCCCCAGAGTACTTGAGCCACACCGCAGGGCTCACCAGCCTTGTTTTCAAGTGTGCTTCAGGCTGTGTACAAAACACATCATCGCAGGACCACTCCAGAGACTGCACAGCTCCTGTGCCTCCTGTTGTCATTGTCACTGAAAGTGCCTTCCCCATATCCCACTCACTGGCAAGGCTACCTGCCCCGCTGCAAGAGGCACAGTCACTTTCTGGATGGACCTGCATTCTCGGATGGTAGACGTAAATCCTCCATCATCTTACTTGATTCAACGATGCCAGGTCCCATTTGTTGCTATCTCTCCTGTTGTAGAACTAGAATATGGGTGCAGGCAGCTGGTGCAGAAGAGGTTGTCGGAGGTGGCTTCATGGTTTGTGTCTCCTGAGCATGCTTCTTTGGCAGGGGTGATGGGTACCAGCCACGTGTATGGAGGCTGCAGGCATAGTTGGAGACCGTCAGGAGCAGGTTACCAGGCTGTGAACTGGGACGAGAGCATTCAAACTGACTTCTTTTGGAGGAACTCACTACACTACTCGGGCCCCTCGCTATAAGAAGGACATTGAGTTGCTGGAGTGTGTCCAGAGAAGGGCAACAAGGCTGGTGAGGTGTCTTGAGAACAAGTCTTATGAGGAGCCACTGAGGGAGCTGGGGCTGCTTAGTCTGGACAAGAAGCTGAGGGGGGACCTTACTGCTCTCTACACCTACCTGAAAGGAGGTTGTAGTGAGGCATGTGTTGGTCTCGTCTCCCAAGTAACCAGCGATAGGACGAGAGGCAATGGCCTCAAGTGTGTCAGGGGAGGTTTAGATTGGATATTAGGAAAAATTTCTTTACTGAAAGAGTGGTCAGGCATAGGAATAGGCTGCCCAGGGAGGTGGTTGAGTCACCATCCCTGGAGGTCTTTAAAAAAAGGTGTGGACGTGGCACTTCAGGATATGGTTTAGTAGGCATGGTATTGTTGGGTGGATGGTTGGACTTGATGATCTTCGAGGTCTTTTCCAACCTTAATGATTCTATGAACACTCTTTGTAGGACTGCAGTACAAATGCTGGCAAATCAATTGTTTAACCGCTAAAGCCACCGTTACAGCTCAGACCTGCTCCTGAAAAGCAGCTGACATCTATGTGGAGAAGATGTATTTTAGCTCAGTGCACAGAAAGTTAACACACCTTTGTAATCTGGCTATTTCTAAGGGCTCACAGAGGGGGCGGGAAGGGGGGGGGGAGGAATCCTGACTCAGGCTCACAGCAGCTGCATTTCTCTCTCCAGCGCCTGGTGAGGATGAACATGCCGATCTCACCTGAAGATTTAACCGTCCACTTCACGTCCACACTGATGGCCTTGATCCGCACTGCCCTAGAAATTAAACTCGCCTCAGGTGAGAGGGAGGTGATGTCTGGCAGCACGCGTGGGCTCAAACCCCAACTTGTCTCTTGGCTTGGTGTCCTGCCAAAGCCACAGAAATTCTGCCCCAGCTAGAAATCCTATTTTCCTATTTCCTGCGTGCCCTCTGCCAGCGCCTGAGGACAAGGGAGCTTTGGGGACAGGCAACAGAGAGGGGTCCTGAGCATCACTCTGCCTTTGGGGTGGCCCCATCCTGGTGTCCCTCTTGATGAGGTGTGGAGAGCTTTGGCCATCCCAGTTTGGAGCTCTCAGAGGAGAAGCCCTGTGCATGTGCTCGTTGCTGTACAGCAGAAATGAGAGTTTCCATACCTCTGTTCTAAACTGTTCCAGAGTGAGGGAAAAAAGAGCCCTTCCTCTCCAATTGCTGGCTGCTGGCAGCAAAGCAGTGACTCCAAGTGCCATGAACCGCACTTTGTCTTGAGATAAAATTTAATTATTTAAGTGTTTAATCAGGCATTTACTTGACTTCCCAATTAAATACTGCAATGTAATAAAATACACTGGCCTTTTCTTTGGGTCGTTACACTATTTAATCAGGCTGTCTGGGGTCAGAATCAAGGCATGACCAGTCAAAGCACTTTTATCCCTAATTTACAAGCTAACAGGAGGTAACAATGCTCTTATGAGCAAGGGGCAGGGCAGGGTTAGGATGTTGTGCTTTTCCTGAGTGGTTTTAGGCCAGCCGTGCAACCTCTCTGTATTAATTACCTCCCTCATATGTTGCTTAAACTTTGGTGCTTTGGGTAGGCACTGCTGGAAGTAGACAAAATTTTGAGGTCACTGGGACTCCCCTCGGGAGGACAGTGAGTACCAGATGCGCATTTCCACAGATGCATTTAGGACTGCCTGGGATTTTAGGGGTCAGCGCCTTATTTTAGTAATAGCCTCTAGATAAGGATACTTAGAGTTTGTATTATTTTAGGCTTCTGGTTACCTACCAGCAATGCTAATTTAAACAGCCTTTTTCAGTTGAAAAATCCTCCCCCCACTCTTTTTTCTGGCCACATACTGGAGGGGAACCAGAGAAGGGAGCTCATCTGATGGTGCTGGATTCTTTCTGAGGTTTCTATCTGCTGCGGGTTGTGAGTTTTTGACCTGTTTTGCTGTTATGTGCTTCGTTTGAATAGGTTTCATGTGCTACATCTAATTGAGTCTTTAGTGGGACTAACAGGCCCTTAATAAAACCTTCCTAATGGGTTTCCGTGCGGGAGTTCAAACCACCATGTAGCAGAGTACGCAGAGCTTCCTCCCATTACTTTTCTCTTAGAAAAATAATCTCTGTCATTCAGATGAACTACTTAATTGCCTGCTGTGTGGTGCATTCACTTGGGAGCTGGCCTGTTGGCTTACATATACTTTAATCACTCATCACTTGTGTATTGAGACCTCACTCTGGCCATTTGAATAATGCCGCTGTGTGTGGCTCTTTCTGTTTTACCTTGTGATATAGCTGCTGTTTGATGCTGCTGATATGGAACAGCGTGCTTATGTCTCGTTGCTAAAAACTTCAGGAAGAGTTGTTGGTGGAGAGGGTTTATAATCAATCATGGCATTGCTCGCAGTCCAGCACCTCAGACCATGTCCTTTGAATCGCACCTGGGAGGTGCTGCTGGTTTCTGCTGACACTATCAGGCACCCCAGGTCTGCAGTTAGGTAGAATAAGTCTGAGCTTAAGTTTAAGCCCCAGGTGACAGCAGAGGGTCAGCAGGTTGAAGCTATGGTGGTCCTGCTGAGTTCACACACTTTTGTCACGGAGGAGGTCGCTGATTCCCTTTGCAACAGCTGCCGCAGCTGGTGCTGGCACGGTGCTCTGAAGAAACCGGAGTGAGGGAAATGCCTTCTCCTGTGCTTGCTGTGCAACCAGTAGTATGCACTGAAAGGACAAGGATTTTCACTCTTCTTCCTGTGCCTTTTTCTCTCCCCCCCCCTTTTTGCAGGGGGGTTCAAAATTCTCTCCCCCCCCCCTTTCTGCAGGGGGTGTCAAACAGCACCAGTGCGATGCTGAGTTGAGAAAGGAGATCTCGCTGGTTTGGCCCAATCTGTCCCAGAAGACTCTGGATTTGCTGGTGCCCCCTCACAAACGTAAGTGGTTCATCAGCAAGCACCCAACCCATCCCAAGAAGCCCAGAGCAGGTTTCTCCCTCCTTGCCTGCCTTGTCCCTAGCCCCATCTAGGTGCACAGTCCATCTGGAGAATGCAGCAAAGAAACCAGGTGCAGGTCAGCTTCTAGGTATCCTCTCCGCAGGGTACGCAGCCCACATCTCCACGTCATGGTCACGTAGGGAGTAGGGAAGCTGAGCTTACATCTAGGCATGTATTTCAGTGTGCTACGTTAGATTTCCTGTACTTAAAATAAACCCAAAACCAAACATGCCAAGAAGGGACCAATGCCCTGTGTGGCCTCTTCTAGAGCTTTTTCATAGCTCCAGCCTGTGTCTTACAGGATGGGAGAGTGATTTTTCCCATCTGGGCTCCAGAAAACCGGGAGAAGAAAATTAAATTTTGCTGAGAACTTACAGAATTAAAAGTGAGGTATTTTGGGGCTAAAGGCCTCGGTGTTACCTGATGATGTCCTGGGTGAATGTGCTGAGAAAAATGGAAAGTTTGCCATTACCTTGCTTGGCCAAGACAGGGGTTCTGGATTCCTGATTAATGAGAAACAGTGCAGAGCAATAAAGGCATTGTTAATTAAGATAAATGAGGGAGCTGAGGAGGTGCAAATCAGTGGGTAGTGACTGCTTAAGTCTTTCCCTCCTCTCGTCTCTTAATGCCCACTTAACTGGTGTTTTAACACTTTGGTCTACAGTAAGCACTCAGCTGCCGCGCGGGGAAGGGCTGGTGGCATAGCGGTGAGGGTGAAAGCAGATATCTGGAAATATGAAATACTCTTTAAATGTGTGTTAGCCCATTATGCCCCAGTTGACTGTAATTCAAAGTAATAGGAATAAGGCTTCTTTGTTGATAAAAAGCTGGCTGTGGATCTGGTATTAATTTAGTAATTCTTCTGTCATTAATGCTTACAATGCTACAGAATTTTCCTGCCTGCTTTTTTTTTCTACAAGGTCTCTGTGAATGTTTGCCACAGAGAGCTAGAGACAGGGGCCATCCTCCTCAGATGTGAAAGGCCGCAACAGGCAAAGATCTGTTGTAACCTTTTCTTGGTCTTTTGTTCTTTCCCCCACTTTTCTGTTTCTGTTTTGCTCTGTTATTCTAATGCTGCCTTTTCTTTCTCCTTACTTTTCCTGCCCATTTGTTCTTATTTCTTGTGCTCTTTGATGACTTCTTCTCTTCTGATCCTTTCCCGTTCTTCACCTGAATGTCTCTGTTGCGTTTCACCAACCACTGACAGCGGATGAGATGACTGTGGGGAAGGTCTACGCAGCGCTGATGATATTTGACTTCTACAAGCAGAATAAGAACAGCAGGGAACAAGTCCACCAGCCTCCTGGAGGCCTGTGCCAGGTACTCAGCCAAAATGCATCCTTCTGCGTCCTTCCCCTTGGGCAGCCTCTTCTCCAATGCTGGGCATCTCTCATGAGAGTCACTGGCACATTTCATCCAGAAAGTCTGGATGCTTCTCCAGGTGGGATTTGAAAATGCTGTCTCAGAAGTTGAAACCTCTCCTGAAAGTGTCTCTCTCTCAAAAAACAAAAATTAAAAAAATTGTTGCAGATGCCTTTTCCAGTACATCTGGAAAGATCTTTTCCAAAAAATGTCAAGCAATTTGGCAGTCTAAGTCCTATTTTCAGAAGTGGCCTAGCGACTGGGGAACACCGAAAGATTTCTTTGAGACACCAAAGAATTATTGAAAGCTGATAACAGGTTGGCTCTAAAATGTTTAAGTTGCTTTTGAAAATGGGAATTATTCAAAATCATTTTGGCTTTAATATATTTCAGGATATTTACAATTTCTTGAAAATATTTCCACACAACTGGCTCGGTATTGAAACCCCAAAGATTTTCAATAGGACAAATACCTATTAATTTCAGGTTGATCATCCAGCTGATCTCCAGCATGGCTTACCTGTCTGTCTCGCAGATTGGAGGCTAGAGCAGGCCCAGTGTCACAACCGGACACATGAATTGCACAGCCCCTTCAGTCACGCCAGTGTATGAAATCCCTGCTGTGCTCTGGTGACTGGGGAAATACTTCATTAGAGGGAAGAGGGTCTGCAGCACAACTTTGAGGGCAACAGTTGTCCTTCAGAGCCTGTTACAGCTATGGGAAGGCTGGGGCTGCTTTCTGCTAGACTGATCCTTCAGCGTGACAAAGTGGACATTTTATTAACTAGAAAACGTACTGCAGTCCATCTTCTCCATACACAGCTTTGTCTCTGATAACCTGTCCTTGTGCTTCGCAGCCCGGGCCGGTGTCTCTCTTCCACCCCTTGAAGGCCACTTTGGAGCAAACCCAACCCGCAGCATTCAACAACGCAAAGGCGTTCCTTCGACAGAAAAGTTCAGCCTCACTCAACAACGGGGGCGCGTTGTGAGTATCCTGTGACCTCCCCACCAAAGCTGTAACACGGAGAAGGGGCACGCTGGCCATCAACCCCGGCCGCTCCTGGTTCAGTTGCTCTGGAGATAGAGCACCACAGCTGGTGGCACAAAGACCATCAGCCCCTTCATGCCACGGCTGGGACAATTGCCCACCAGTGGCTACCAAAATGCTCTGCTTCCCACTGCTGCCTCAGGTGCAATTATCCATGTGGTGGTAGTACTGGGTTCTTGAGAGCTACATGTTTTCTTAATGGTCTTCTCTGAATCTTACTTGGAGACCTTTCTGTTGGGGCGGGTTGTAAGTGTGAGTTTGCTTTCAGGAATTTGGGATCATTGCAAAACAACCAAACCCTGACCCACCAACCACTGCTGCAGTGAGTTCTTGGGAGTCAAAATGTCCTTGGGAATAAAGTCAGCTCTCAAGATCATGGCACTTGGTAACAGCAAGAGATTCTTGAGACTTTCCAGGACAGAATCTGGCTCTTTCTCTTTGGGCAAAATAATACCTTCACAAAGAGCTTACCAAACAGTTATAGTAATAGTGATCCCTAATCAATTCTCCATTTCCTGATCATCTTCAGGTGACTTTCCTCTGGGTCACAAGTGCTGTGGATTTTTAGTGATAGACATCTGAGGTTTAAGTGTCTGGAATAACCCTGATGGGGAAACCAACATCAGACTCAACAGTGAAACCCAAGGCCACCTGTATCACTGTATGTTCAGTGAAACTACTTTAGTATGTGTTTGACCCCAGGGTACCTTATAGCTTCAACAGCAACTGTGCCTATCCTGCAACTAGTTTCACGACTGAAACCTCAAAGGGTACCTGCATGCTTTGCCTCCATCACAATAAGGTCAGCAAAATCTCTTTGTAAATGACCAAATCTTTTTTTCTCTTTTCCTTCTGACAGGCCAGCCCCAGAGGGTGGAATCAAAGAGTCCAGTTCTTGGGGGACCCAACGCACCCAGGATGTGTTTTATGAAACGAGGACACCAGCTTTTGAACGAGGCCACTCGGAAGAAATCCCCATTGAACGGGTGAGCAAACAGGTGAAGACAGGGTGAAATGCAGTAGATTTTAGTACATACCAGGCTAGATACTTTCCTGAGAGCTGAAGAGGTTGTCTGTCCCTTGAGACAAGCGTTGTTCTCTCTCTTACAACCCGAAGTTTGCTTGAACGTAATGGAGAAAAACTAAATCTTATGTCTTCTACAGTGTGACAGCTGTCCGTGTGGACACAATTCTCCTGGAATTATGTGTCTGCTGCAATAGCTAACTCAGAGTTATCTCTTCCTACTTGTCCCATTGTCCCAGTCCCATTGTCATTAGTGTACAAACTCAGAGGAGAGGTCTCACAGGTCAGAGCTGGGGCTCGTTGCCATGGCTGGTGGAAGAGCTTGGCCCACTCTTGTCCTTGTTGAGGACAACACTGTAGACAGAGTAACCTGGGCACCCCACAGCTCTTAACTTCCACTTTCTCCTCCCAGATTCTTTTCACAATTAAATCAAACTTAGCAGAAGCCTGATCAGATGATGACTTCAAAGCTGATGTTCACGTTCTTGCTACTGAAACTCTTTCTTGTTTCGATCAGGTGGTAGAAATGAGGGAAATCAGCCCCACACTTGCCAATGGAGAGCACCAACCAGGCCTGGAGAGCCAGGGGCGGGCAGCTTCCATGCCACGCCTGGCTGCTGAAACCCAGGTGAGCGAGGAGGCTTTACTGGTGGTGGGAGACTGAGAGTAGGTCAAGAACTTAGTATCTTCTCTCTGCTTGGTGTGTTGTTGGAAGTTACTGGCAGATATTTGTTTTGAAAGATGTATGCTGAACCTGGGGACAGGTAACTAGCCTCTGTGCTTGGGTGGCAGGTATTCATGTGTAGACACAGCTCTGTCACCAGTTTTACTCATGCCTGGTTGCAGCAGAAAGCAACCCAGAGAAATCCCTCTGTCTGGGTAGCTAACTGAGGACTGCCTACCCAACAGCGTCTATTCTGATAAACTGGGGACAATACTGTTTGCCAGCCTTATTCCTGGAAGGCCTGTGTTTCCCATTAGCAATTATGTGCCATCTATCCAGACAGACAGTCAAGGCATGCTCCTGTGCCCTAGCCAGAGAGAACGCTGGAGATGTGCTGTGACTCTGATGAATGTAGCAGGTACAGAAAAGACCAGGGAGCCTGTGCCTGGAAGGCTGTATTCAGGCACTAAGCATCCTCCCTGTTTTTTTCTCTTCCCACAGTATTTAGCATACAATAAATGTATTGTGACTTTGGTCAGTAAAATGTTGTTGAGGATTTCCTTGTTTAACTTCTTGTAAATAAATCTTGTCATTAGAGTTGACTTTTACAGCAACTTGTGGATGCTACTTTGTGTGTAGGATGTTGTCCCAGATGCTCTCCAGCCACCGTACTGCCTCCTGTGCATCAGAGCATCTTGCCACTCGTAGTCGCGTCGCTCTCATTCAAAGGCCCTCATTCCTACAGTTAGGAATAAGCAGCCAGTGGCTGTGGGCAGTTTCTGTTGCTCTCCATGAGAAGGAGAACGTGAAAGATATGCTGCACCCTGAAGCTAAAAGCCGGTGTATTGCATGCTCGGCCATAGCTCCAACAGATATAATCTTTTTGCTAACATACTCAGGCTGGCACAAGCTACGCTTCATCAGCTAGCAGATTTCCCAACTGACTTCAGAAACCACAGTCTTTGTATGAGCTGGGATTCTCTGCATTATCAGGAACACTACTCAACACGCTTAATAAACAAAACAGACCCCAAAGCAAACCCACACTCCCTCTCTTCCCCCTTCCCAGAACAAAGTTGTCCTTTATTCTAGACCACAAGCAACATCTTTCCTTCCAAGGCAACGCAGCTGGCAGCAGCAATGCCAGCGGCACGAGCCGAGCCTTGGGAAGCTCCTCTCTGTTGCAGTCAGATGTTTGCAGAAGTGAGTATCTCGCAGAAGCGCGGTACGTGTTCCCCAGGGCACAGCTTCCCCACGTGGAAGCTGTCTAATCCCGTCAGTAATCAGGCCCATAATATCTGAGCAGATCTACCCTCGTTTAATAATACAATGTTTTGGTGGTTGTAGCTACAGCTGAATAACTGATATACTTTCTGTGTGTGTCTTCCCCCTTCATGCCCTCCATCCTCCCTCTCCTGTGCTGCTTCTGCTCCCTCCAAACTTTGGATTCTTTATAACTCTTATTTGCATTGTTTCTGGATGTCTCCCTTTCTGTTTGCCTGTCATTCCTCTGTCTTTTTATGTTCCACTTTTTAAAAAAAAAACCCTACCTATGCTTTCAATCTCACCTCCTCCTTCCCTCTTCACTGTCCTCCTCCCCCATCACCTCCCCTCCTTTGTCATCATCGTGTCCACTGCACATCTGCCGTGATGTCTGACAATGGCTGTACTGTGGGGCTGCCTCAAATAATGTCTCTCATCTTGTCCGAATTGTTTGCAGAGGAGCAAAGCACGGTCACCTGGGAGTTACCTGGCAGTATGTAGTTTGCACTAAGTTGTATCCTATTAAATTCATATTAAGAAATAATCAACCTTCCTTAACCTTTTACTTTTTCCCCTTCTCATTTGGAGTCCAATGCTGCACCGACGCAGCCGCTATCTCTTTCCACTTTGCTGCAGTTCCCTTGACCCACAATTGCACGCCGCACGCTGTAATCGCAGGGATTTTTTGTTGGTTTGTTTGCTTGTTTATTTGTTTTTGTATGCCTTGTTGCACAGGAATTTAGGAAGTGAAAACAGTCGGGTTTGTAATGAAGAAGCAATTAGTGACTCTCTGGAGGGTTACGGTGTAGTCTCCCGAGGCTTGTGGGGAGCCTGTGCGTGCCCCGTTAGCGTAACGAGAGCATTGTCAGGATTCATAGAAAGGGTGTTCATTGCTTTGCCACTTCCCATTAGTGTCAGTGGGGTCTTCAGTCCCTGGAATAAGCAAAGAATCAGGTCCAAAATCCAAAGAGAAATGTTTATTTCTTACTGATTGGCAGCCTTTTTGTTGGGAAATTTCTGTCACCTTCTTTCTGGTAGCTCCTATATGGATTTTGGAAATCTGGATAAGTGTTTTTAGTGGCGCAAGTATTTTCACTCTTTTGCCCATATCTGTAAAATCCTGAATCTGACTGTCCAGTTTGTGGACCTCTCTGCCCTCCTCCATCTTCAAACTCAACAGTAAGCAAGGAGGAAAAACAGGCAGCTCCTCCGCAGAATTTCTTGCCCATAGAAAATGCACACAATAAGAGACGCAGGAGGAGACAAATGCAGCACAACACGGTCCTGTTAACGGCACTGGTGCAGACCCCGGGTATGCAGCGGTGCCGCGGGCTGTGCTGTGCTCCCCAGCCCAGCAGGCTCTTCCTTGTGCCTCTGACAAACCTCCCAGCTCTGGCACTCTGCCTTCTCCAGTGGGAAGCACAAAAATTTGGGTAACCTAGCAAGAGAGACGCAGGAGGAGACAAATGCAGCACAACACGGTCCTGTTAACGGCACTGGTGCAGACCCCGGGTATGCAGCGGTGCCGCGGGCTGTGCTGTGCTCCCCAGCCCAGCAGGCTCTTCCTTGTGCCTCTGACAAACCTCCCAGCTCTGGCACTCTGCCTTCTCCAGTGGGAAGCACAAAAATTTGGGTAACCTAGCAAGAGAGAGCGAGCACCAAACACAAGTTCAGCTCCAACTGCACCTTTGCACACAAGACAAGCTGCCCATGATGGCTGCTTGGGAGGGAGAGCGGGTCATTCCTCGAGCAGAGCTGCGAAACAACTGGCTTTGCAGTGTGTAAAGATCACAGGGCAGCAGAGTTCTGAATTTCAGGATAAGCAAACAAAATAGCACAGACAGTAAAATAATGCAGGGCTCTGTGGAAAGGTTACAGTGAACAAAGTAAATGTTCTGCGAGAACTGTCGTGGGAGGCACATATTGGATTGTGAATTCAAACAAAAGAGCGGAGGGACCAGAGGATGCCCTGAGCTCCCTCCCCATCAGGCTGGACCTCTGTGCTCTGAAGTCCTTCCTCTGTCACGCGGCTTTGATGCAGGGATAGACCCAGGGAAGCCTCCAGAGGATGGGTGAGGCCCTGCCTCCACCACAGAGCCAGCTGGAGGCCAGCAGAGTGGAAGAGAAGGACATGTGGGAATTGTCCTCCTTTCCTGAGCTTTATACCTGGTGAGTGGGCAGCAGGGAAGGGAAAGGCTGTGAGAATCGCTGTCCTGCAGTCCGCTTGTCTCAGTTTCTGCAGAGCTTCTTTGTAAAGGTTTGAACCTAAAGGGAAGGGAGCAGAGTCTGGAGCTGCCACTGCCACAGGGACGGGGTCCAGCGATGCCTGTAGGAGGCTGTGTCACTGCACTCAGTGTCTGGATGTTTGGCCACAAATGATTTGAAAACAGCAACAGGAAACCCAGGTAGTCATTTCTGGAGATGTCCTGGTAGAACTGCAGGGCATACATGCTATGCTGCTTATCCCAGTCACGAGGGCTTCGAGGGATGATGGTGGGACTAGAGAGGTTTAAGCGTTTGACAGGAGTTGTCTTGCAGGGACATAAAAGTAATTTCTTGATGGCTTGCCTGTACCTTACTCACTTATTCCTGATTTTTCTCCCTCTTCATGTGATGCCCAGCAACGCTTTCATGCTTTCCTCTTTGGAGTTGCTTTGGGATGACCACATGCCCTGAAGCAGCTTTGGGTGAAACTAGCCTTGGAGAATTATCTTTGTGAGATGCTTGGCTACTGTGCTGCCCTGTGCCCCTGCTAATCTACTGCTGACTCCTGTGAGGCTGTGTTTGGTGTGAGGTGCTGCATATCGCCCTGCGACCGTGGTATCTGTGGATTGGCACACTGCTAAAAGTAAAGCCCATTTCAGCAAACGGAGATCACATTTGCTCCTCAAATTTAGCACTCAATCTACCATTCCACAAGTCCTTCTGCCCATTCCAATTATATCCAATTAACCATTTTACTCCTTCCCCTCCTCACCCCCGTCTCTCACTGTAAATCCCTCCCCATGCTGGGAACCAAGCAGCTGATCACGGTGCGGTGCCTGCCCTCACGCTGCTCCATGTCCCTCCGTCTGCCTTGCAGCCCATCCCGGACACGAGCCCCATGAAGCGCTCGGTCTCCACGCTGACCCCGCAGCGCCCTCACGCCATGCACCTCTATGAGTACTCCCTGGAGCGCATGCCGCCGGAGCAGGGGCATCACCACCACCACCACCGCTGCCACCGGCGGAAAGAGAAGAAGCAGAAGTCCTTGGACAGGTCCCCCCATCAGCTGGCCGACGGAGAAGCTGGTAAGTGCTTTGCAAGCAAGGATTTGTGCCTCGTCCTCCTCCCTTCAGGATGCACAGCGGTCATCTGATGTGATTTGGGGTCCCATCTGTGTGGAAGGACCTCCCTGCCCCACACTTGGGAGTTCCTCCCGTGTTGGTGACCGCCAACCAATGTTCTTCTTTCAGTGGCCCAGTCTGGTGAGTCTTCTTCCAAGGACAAGAAGCAGGAACGTGGCCGGTCCCAGGAGAGGAAGCAGCACTCTTCCTCCTCCTCTGAAAAGCAGCGTTTCTACTCCTGTGACCGCTACGGCAGCCGAGACCGTTCTCAGCCCAAGTCTGCCGATCAGAGCAGGCCCACCTCACCCAATGGAGGGCCGGAGCAAGGTCCACACAGACAGGTGAGGAGATGCAGGGTGGGAAAAGAATCCTAAGGTCTTCCAGGGATGTGCAGACCTTCCCCATGTTTTGTTTAAAATAAAGGAGACGGAACAGGAAAGGCTGGGCAGTAGGAGGTAAAGCGTTTGATGTCCTGCTTGGTCCTTCACATCCAAGACAGAGACGGAAATGCTGCTTGATAGCTCTTTAGTAGCCATCTACAGAATAAGTGACTCAGGGCATCTCGCAGAGACCCCACTGCCAAAGGACACCCTTGCTCATGGTTTCAGCGGAGCAGCTTGGGAGACCTGAGAACTGGCAGCTCTTGATGCTGATGGAGAAAGTGTGACTTAGCCCAAGGCAGGCTGGTAGCATGGCGTGGGACCTGGGCAACTGAGCTTGAACCGTTCCCCTGCCAGCTGTGTTCATCCAGCACCTCCTGCTGCCCCGTGCCGCAGACATTTGGTGATTGCCAAAGAAATCCTTGCCACCCCAGTACAAGCCAGTGTAAAACAGAGTAGGTACTCCAGACAGCTGGAGCTGTGATTTCAGCAGCGTTTGCTCACGTTAGCAGGGTTTTCCAACTGCTGCTGCGTAGGCTTCAGAGCTGTCCCACGTTTTCATGTGATCTCTAAAACTGAGGAAAAAGTCTTTTTTTCCCTAGTGTCAACTGAATCTGCAAACATTCTCTGGGAGGAGAAATCACGGTCAGGGAGAGGGGAAAAGTAGGAGGAGGCAGGCCCTGGGTGGAACGGAAGACAGCTCAGCCCCGAGGCAGCATGATCCCTGCCAACATTGCCAAGTAATGCACAGCTGCTGTGCCGGGAGGGGGGGCTCTGGCCACTCTCTAAAATCTCCCTAAGTTTGCAGCCGGCCGTCTCTTTGCAGCCTGGCCGGCCGGGAGTCACAGGAGGGGTGAGCGATGCCGTCAGCCCCCGCACAGCATCAGCTCCTGCGGAGCGGGGGGAAATCCTGCGCTCAGCACCAGTTAGAGCCCAGGGGAAGGATTTAAACGAAGAGGCTCTGTAGTGTCCCACTAGCTGCAAAATGAAGCAGCTTTTTGTCTCCTTACCCTGTCCCGTGCCTTTCTCTCTCACTGCGCAGTCCTTAGCAGCAGCCGGGCTGCAGCATCGGAGGCTGTGGGCTGCAGTCCGTGCTCGGGGGCTGCAGCCCTGCAGCTCTGGAGGCACCCAGGGCATGGGACACGCTTTGCACAGCCGTTCTCAGCTGGGAGCAGCAGCCCAACAGGTCTTTTCCATCTCCACGTGCTGCAGTCTGGCCTTCATCTGGTTTTTCAGATGAGTTTTTCTTTTAATTTCTTAATTTCTCCCTTTGCTTTGAGAGGCAGAGAGATGACACTGATTATTAGCATGATGTCTCTCCTTTCTCGTATGCTCATCTTACCAGAACTTTAAATATCACGTATAGTTTAATTTAAAAAATCTTCCCTTAGTTAATAAACAATCAAAATTAGAGCATAAGCTGCCTTGTACAAACCTGTTCCTCCAGTTCCAGTGAAGTCTGTATTGTCCCCTACTTCCCATGTGGGTTTAATAAGGCAGGGCAGAGAAAGCTTGATGTTTCAGTGTCCATGTATTTTATCCACTCACGTTATCTACTTTGAGTGGAGCTGCTAATACATTTCTCGGCTGTACTGAAAAAAAAAAAAAAAAAAAAAAAAAAAAAAAAAAAAAAAAAAGAGAGATTAAAAAGAAAGCCAAAGCAGCATATAATATCTGCCCCAATGATCCCATTCCCTGCATTATTTTGACTCGATAACAAGGTGCTTGTAAACTCGCAGGTGTTTTCTTTGTTAGTCGGTCCCTCTCCTCAGGAGACACAGCTTTTCCCAGGAACCCTGGCTCAGCGCCTTTCACCAAGTCTCTGGAGGCCCCTGCATGTACCAAAACGAGTCGCTGCCTTGAGCTTCACCTTGCCAACAAGGTGGCTTTGTTCCAGCTAGAGCCAAGCCAAAAATCAGGGCAGTTTTGGTTCAAAGAGCAGTTCTTTGGAGTTTTTTTTATAATGCAAAAAAAGGAGACAAGAAAACCAAGCCCCTAACATTTCCTTTTGGGCCAACTCCCAGCGCTTTCTCTGACTCACGCAGAAATGTTACGCATCATCTGTGAACTATCTCACTGTTTCCTTTTCAGTGCAGGTGAATTGTTATATATAAGTCCCATTTCACGGTGAATCTGGGAAAATAATTTTTCAAATCAGCTGAAACTTCATGGAATTTCAAAATGTTTCACTAGGAAGGAGCTTGTTAGGCCTTTTGAAAAAAAGACCTCATAATTGTTTTATAATCAAGACCATTTCCTGAACTGGTCCTGGATTAAAGAAGTTTGAAAACCTCGCAAAAACATTTTTAGGCAGGTTTAATACTTACCAAAACAATTTAGTCTGCTTTCTTTTTTAAGTTTTGTAATTTTGAGTTGCTAAGCCTCGGGCCCTTGGGAAAAGCTGGGCATCTTCCCCTGGATGCTGGCACATCGCAGGTCACTGGGTGGTGGCCACCATCTCCCCGGTCACCACAGGAAGGCAGCTTGGCCGGAGGGCAGGGACGGGGATGTCGGTCTGTAGTGCAGGGAAGCCAGAGAAGGGACAGGGTGTAAAAGACCAGAGAGAAAGGCGAGGACTCGGTTTCCAGGCTGCGAAAGACGCGAGTCGTTGGCCCAGCAGCACGAGCAGCCAATGCTCTACCTGTCCCCAGTGCTTGCAGAGAGCCAGGGCAGCAGTGAGTGACACCCGGGCTGCTCCGCACCCCCAGATAACACGGCTTTGGCCTCTTCTTCGGGCAGACGTGGCACGACTCCTGGCAACGGCGGCTAAAATAGCCGCTACATCCAGGTGCTGGGCTGATAACCTCCAGCACTGCCTGGCTTGCCCTCGAAGCTGTGCTGGAAAACCCAGGCAGAGCAGAAAAAGCATCGATTGACAGCCCGAGAAACAACAGCCTGATGTTTTTATAGGAAGGAAAAGCCGTGCTCTGAGAATTAAAGGTCTGGCCTTAAAATGTTAGGTCACGAAAAGCTGAGGCATTTTTAAAATGTGCTCACAGGGCTATTCACGTACTGCCCTGGGAGAATGTAAACAGAAATGCCAAATCAAGGGCCCGTTCCTCTCACTCCTGGCATTTTTTTAACTTACTGTACCTTAGTTCACTCCTACGTGTCACTATTAGTAACACAGAAAGCTGCCAGACTCTGCTACCACTCAAAAATCCAATGTGTGGTATTGAAGAGGAGAAAGCGAATGCATTTTTAAGGAACTTTTTAGTTAAAGTTGGTCCAAAAAGCTTTTTGTTACTTTTTTCAGAAAGTGGCTATTTAATCAAAATACTTTTCATTCCCAAAACTACCCCACAATAGTCTGCCCTCTGCCCCCACATCCTCCTTCCATATAATCCGACTTTGACCACAGAAACAATCCCCAATATCAGCATTCACAACCATCGGGTGAAGTTCTGCAAAAATCTGTCCCAAAGCAAAGAATGCTGTTTTGCAAAATTGTCTTTGCAAAAAAATAAATAAATATAAAAGCACACCGCAGGTTTTTGAGCTGCTCCCGCCTAGTTCAGGTAAGGCGCATGTCGAGCCCGTGTGTGATGTGGATGCCTCCCCTCCGGACAGTCTCCCCTTCTGTTGGAGCCGTCTGCCAGTTTGCGTCCTACTGATGCTCTGACCCTTTCTGTTCTTATTTACCGCTCGCAGAACTTTAGTTCTCCAGCTGTTTACATCTCCTGTTGAACTATTTCTCGAGAACCTCCTCCCCCTGACTGTGCCTGTCTAAACTCTCTCTTTTTTGCTTTTCTTTCCTCTTGTGACTTGTCTCTCCCTTCCGTTGCTTCTCCTTCTGTTTTATACCTGCTTGCCTTTGTGTTTGTCTGGTGTTTCCTTTTTTTATTTTTTGATTTGCTGTGTTCCAATTTTTATGTAGGGCAGTGGTTCAGTTAATGGGAGCCCCTTACTGTCGACATCTGGTGCTAGTACCCCATGCCGGGGTCGGAGGCAGCTCCCACAGACGCCACTGACCCCACGCCCCAGCATCACTTACAAGACGACCAAACTCCGTCCCCCCCGGGCGGTGCCCCGCATCGGCTCCGACCCTTACCTGGGCCACCGCGATGACGCCGACAGCCCCTACCGCGCCGTGCCGGAGGACACCCTCACCTTCGAGGAGGCGGTGGCCACCAACTCGGGACGGTCCTCAAGGACTTCGTACGTCTCCTCCTTGACCTCCCAGTCTCACCAAATCCGCAGGGTGCCCAACGGCTACCATTACACGCTGGGTCTCAGCACGGGCCCCGGGACTGGCACCAGAGGACGTAGTTACTACCACGAAGCTGATGAGGATGACTGGTGCTAGCGGCGTGGCGAAACCCTTCAAGGTGTGCGCATTTAAAATCGATGAGTTTTATCATCTGGAAGGCAGTGCGCTCTGACGCGTGTGGTGCCTGGGGCCAGAGGGGGCCCGTGGGGCTGCCCCCGCCACGAGAACTGCTCTGCGCCCAGCTCTGGAGACCCTCCTGCAGCCTCTCTCCTCTCTTTTTCTTTCTCTATTTTTTTTCTTTCTTTTTGGACTAGACAAATCAAGGAAGAAGGCTCCCTTCTTAGTGGGAGGGGCGAGGACGG